TTTGGTTAGCCTTTCTCCACTAGAAGGTACACTCCAGATGAGGGAGAAATTTTTTACATCTTTTTTGCCCAGTGCTATATCCTCACTCCCTAGAACAGTGCATAGTATATAGTAGACACTCAAAAAAAAAATTGCTGAATGAAGGCCGGGCGCGGTGGCTCACGCCTATAATCCCAGCACTTTGGGAGGCCAAGGCGGGCAGATCACGAAGTCACGAGATCAAGGCCATCCTGGCTAACACGGTGAAACCCTGTCTCTAATAAAAAAACACAAAAAATTGGCTGGGCGCGGTGGCGGGCGCCTGCAGTCCCAGTGACTAGGGAGGCTGAGGCAGGAGAACGGCATCAACCTGGGAGGTGGAGCTTGCAGTGAGCCAAGATTGCATCACTACACTCCAGCCTGGGCAACAGAGAGAGAATCTGCCTCAAAAAAAAAAAAAAAAATAATAATAATAATAATAAAATAAAGAATATGCTTCCTGGATCCAGCAATCAATCCATTACTAGTGATTTAATCTGGAAAACTTGATGTTAACTGATTTTATAATTGGGGCAACCATGTATGTCTGCCTTTTATCACGGTAGTTTAGCTGAACTGAGTCTATGAAATAATTAGGCCCACGGTGGGGGAATCCGAAATCCTCCTGAAGCACTAGAACCTTTCCCAGCCTTCCCAATATTAGAGAAAATTCTTATTCCCAGAAGTTTCCACCCTTTACAAGGCTCCCGATTTCCCCCAAAGTTAGAAAATACTACACTAGAAAGCTGGAGTTTCCCCTGGATGATCAATTTTTTGAAAAATACAAAGAATATTTTGTTTGGTTTTGGGCTTTTAATGATATGATGAGAAAATTAGAGATTCTCAGGAAAGAAAATGGGAAAACAGCACTGAAATTATTTTTATACATCTCATATCTGGCAGGCCTTCTGATTGGTTGACAAAATAATAATCCTACCAATCTCCTTTCTAGTGTAAAGATATAAAACAAGAAATAATTTCAGATATTTTATCCTTTTGGAATATAAAAGACAGATAAAGACATTATAAATCCCACTCAAGTTTAGAATTAAACAATATTTCATTTTACATTTTTAAGGTTGCTTTTTGAATACTTTGAGCTCAATGATGATATTCATCCCTTGCTTCCCACATACCATCTCCCTCACAAAGGTTTTCAAAAGAAATCTAATTCAGGTAAATGATAATTGATATGGGAATTATCAGAATCAAAATACGAGAAAGCAGCCACACAATATCTTATACTGCCAAACAAGATAACTGTGACTAAAAGTGGAAGTTCTCCGTTTTTAAAAGTTTTAATATTATGATACTAAAACTTGAATTTTAATAGTCTGATAAGAGTATCTATGTATTAAACAATTCAGCCACTCATCATTCTATTCATTCATTCAAGCAAAACACAGTGTTTTACAGAGCAGAGATCTTCCCTACCTGATGGGCTCTTGGACCCGTGAAGTGGAGCCTATGGGTAGAGATGGGACAGTCTTCTATCCAAGAAGGAACTTTGGTTTAATATATGAACTTTTTTGGCAGAACATCAATGACATCCTATCCACTGCTTCATCCAATATTCAAGAATTGTGAGTCTTCCCTCAATCAGCCACAATAAATGCCAACATTCTATGATCTCAACAGGCTTTACAGATATAAATGGTCAGGTATTTAGTTTATAAAATTAAAAATGGAGGGAAGAAAGAGAAAATGGAGTCCAACTCCATTTTGGAGGAATATGGCATCCAACTAGTCCTCTGGGTATTTTAAATTATATCTTTTTATTAAGTCAGTCTCTTTTAAAGAAAACATACAATGCAAGTACTACTCAAGAAACACGCTGGGCATGGCACGATGCTGGGAGGAGGTTTTTAGGTTTTGGTTGCTTGTTACTCAATAGATCAACATGTGTTGAGTTCTACAGAAAAAGAAACATTTCCCTGAGGAAAACAGAATTCCTAGATTCATAACCTACCTCACTTTTACAGAAAGTATATCAAATACAGACATCCTTCTTACTAATGAAAGATCCAGAACCATTAGGGAAAAGTAATTTGCTGTCATGAAGTGTCTCCTTTGTCTCCGTCATGCTCAATATCAGAAGCTTCAATCTTCTATTACCACAGACCACAAGCCCTGGTACCATCCTTGCACCACAGAATCCTGGGTTTGTACTTCCTAAATTGTGTATTTTTCTATTTCTTCTATTAAATAACTGTGTTTTAAAAGGGGCAATTATTTGTAGACTTAAACTATGATGCAAAAGAAAAACTCTCAGATGATATAGAATGCTTTAGCCAACATGTATAGCAACATGTTGAGGAATGCCAGATTGTCACCAAATACAGCTGGAAGTCACTGCTCTTAGTTGGAATCTCTGAAGTAAGCATGGTCCTTTCTAAATACCATTAAAAGTAATAACTTCTGTACTTCTTGGAGCTCTAAAAGGCAAAATTGAGGACAATAGCTATAAAGAGGCAGGTTTCTTTCATAAGCGTTTTTCGACACGTAAATATACTCAGTTATATGCCTTTTCTCTTGTTTCCAAATCTCCCTGCTCCCCAACTCATTTTTCTTCCTTCCATACAGAACACAGTATACTACTAAGGACAATGTTGTGGGACAAAAACATACTGAGAAATCACAAAAACGACAGTTTACATCATTTGATAAGAATAGCAATACTTTACCAAATGGAAAATTCCATCAAATGAAATGTGGCTCCAATCAGATGACTTACCTAAAAATAAGAGAGACAGAAAGAAAAAAGTGAGAACTTGGTGTGGTACTCAACCCTCAATATACTAGTTTCTAAAACATATGGTAGATATCTTAACAACTGATGGACAATCCAAAACAAACAGAAACTATACCAGATCAGGAAACACCAATTCCTTTAGAAACAGTAACTGATGTTAGAAAGGAAATGGTAAACATGGAGCAAAAGCAATGGTGAAAGAAAGTGGTATTTACTTTCAAACCACTTGGCTGTCATACATATTTTAAGGGGTCAGTTTTGAAAATGTGGACACGTATACATATCAGGGCTACAGCTAAACCATGCATTGCACCCTCTTTCTCAAGACCTCTGGTTACTAAGAGACGGTCAAAGCTGCAGACTTTCAAATATCTTTGCCTCCTATGACTCAAGTAAAAGGTGCCAGTGTATCATGTGCTACTGTAATTTCCTCTGTTGATTTTCTTTCCCCTTAACACTTAGATGTTTTGGCTGTTTGCGTTTTTATTTTCCAAAGTGAACACTGATGTTCATGAAAGGTGCCAGATTAACAACCTGGGGAAATTAAGAGCTTGGTCTATCAAGTGAAAAGGCTTAGTGTAGTGGAGGTGACGAAAGTTTCCCCTACACTGTGCTTGCCTATGTACATTAGCTCTGACCCACAGTCACCCCAGCCCTCCAGTCTTCATGGTCCATTAACGTCTTTGACTGCTCAGGTTGCTAACAGGAGCAGACAATCTTGTTTCTGCCTTTAATGCTATCATTATTATTACTACTACTGTGAACTCTAACTCTTTCAGTGAAATTATGGGAAAATTTATATTGGCCGCCATTTTGTTTCAGGACAACAGGAAAATAAATTGAACTGAAGATAGATCTTATATTCTTGGTAATACTGTAGGTTAAAATCCAAGAATTTCTTCAAACAGGAGGCAAAGCTTTGACTGATCAAATTGAAACAGGCCTCAGTAAGTTCAGTCACCTGCACTCAATTTGAATTCTCATTTGGGAATATTCTAGTATTTAAAGGCCAAAGAGGCTTTATTTTTTCTTTTGAGTCTACTGCAAACCAGTCATTTTTATTATTCATTAGCAACTATGATAAAGGTTTGAGTGGATGTTGAAGCTAAAACTATCATTACAAATGAAATCTGAAAATCAATGTCAAACAGAAAAAAATTTCTTTCCTGTATTTATAGGTGTTCCAAGTTTCTGAACTATGTAGGCACTTTGTAATTATTAATTAATCCCACCCATGCCCAGGAATAAAATCACTTTGCTGTATCTAGTCAGATAACCAACAACTGTCTATTGATGACATTATGTTATTTCTCCATGCAAAATACAAGGGCCAGAGCAAGACAATACTCCTCCTAGTCTAGAGTTTATAACAGTAAGAGAAGCAAGGCTAGCAAACATATGCAAAACGTTAATGGAACAATGAAGTACAATGCTGAATGCTGCTGTGTAATAGACTTATAATTATTTAGTAATTATTTGGAAAGATCATAGTATTAACCCCACCATTGTTGCCTGTCTTTCCAATTGTCCTTCTTTTTGTCAAAGACTATATTCTTTGCAGCTAGAGTAGATTTCCGTCTTGACATCACCAGCACTTCCTCTAAATTCTAATCTCTAGAAGTCCCGGAAAATGAGAATTGCAGGATACCAATGACTACAGCAAACACATGGTAACACTTAGATGAAGGGTACCCTGGCTGCAACTCATATGAAAATCTTGGAAAATTTTAGTTTGGGAAACTTTGGCTGTTTTTTTTTTCTTTGCCATGCATAGCCTTTATCAAGCAAGTCCTTATGGTATTAAAACATTTGGCACTGGTTCAAGTCTATGCTATTGCTGGCAGGGAATCTAATTGGGAAGGAGGGGTGGAGTAGCTACCTTTATCAGGAATGACCTTAAAGTTATGGAAAGGCTCCTTCCTTCCCACTGCTTAGCAGCCTTACTGAAAGCTTTAAACCCAGATGTGAGAAAAGAGAATGTATCCAAGAGCAGCAGCAATTTATTGTAATTATGTTAGTACAAACATCAGGAAGGTGGAAAATGTTACGGCAACTTAGTGGAGGAGGGAAACACTTTGTGTATAGGTCCCAGGCAAGGTTGGGCTGGGGAAAACAACCATAACCTATAATTCCCAGGGAGCCCTCAGTTTCCAAATTTGCAAGAAAATTAGAAGTTAACTATTTCAAAAACTAATAACTATATGCAATGCAGTACCCAGTGGGTGAGAGACTGTAAGAATCTGTTCACTAGCAGACACCAGTAGCCACCTCAGTGGCTGGCAGTGGCCAATTTCCTGTTGCCACTAGATAACTAATATATTTTTTCTATCAGTACTGTATCACAATTCCTAACAGTGGCAGTGAAAGCAACAAGGCCCATTTTGCCTACACCATACTCTAGCTTCCATCAGCTGGAGTTTGGTTTAAGGCACTTTAAAGGTTGACTTTCAAATGCAATTAGAGCAAAATCTGTACACTTTTTGGGCCAGTTCTGGGTCTCTCTGTGCCTCAGCCACTTAACTGAGAGTTGGTTTTGTCCCTGACTCTCTTCTTCATTACATAATGGATCTCCTACTGGTTTCTCCTGACTAGACTTTTGCATCTTTCATGATTTGATTTCTCTCATTTCATCTTCTCGTTTTTTTTTTTTGTGGTGGGAGATATACAAGCAAGGATTTCCAGAATTTGGTATTTCACACAAAATGCATTAGTGAGCCATGGCAAAAATCAGTTTTGTGGGCAGACACATCACCAAAGCTCTCCTCTACATGGACTAGCTTTCTAGTCAAATTAAAAATTTCAGGAAATAAGATATTTTCATCTCAAAAAATAAAAGATAAAAAGGGTATGTCTGAGAGACTCAAATCATTGACTCTCATGGTCCTGAAGAGAAAATAGAAAAAGTAATAAAAGCCTTAAGAGCAGAAAATGACAGGTGATTTCTCCTTTTCTTCCCATTTCAAACATTTACCAACAGTCTAATGAATGCCAAGGATGCAAGAAAAAGCGAGTCAGAAAACTGCAGGCCACAAGATGGTGTAAACCTCATGTGGAAAATACCAGCTAAGGCACTAAGAAAGCCAGTAAGTAATGAAAGATTTATAAAGATGAATATGCTCTAGTTTTGGACAAAGAGTACACAGAACAAGACCAAACAAAAATACTTTTTAAAACAAGTTATTTTTTATCCTTCTCAATGCACATTAGAGATAGTTCAATTTTAAAAGCTTGCAGTGGTTTAGTAATCAAATAGCTTAAGATAATGCATGGTTCTACCCATCAAGAATGCTTGTTTACTTTGGCTGACATGCCGCAATTATTAATTTAATTATCTGATTCAAAACAGAGTAAGATCTTAGTTTTAATTTCTTAACTTAAGTAGCAAACTCTGGGAGTCACTATGCTAAGGGCTGAGTGCAACCCAAGCTGAATTTTTTTTTGTTTTTTGGAAAGAAAAGATGTAAGATAAATGAGCTGAATTCTCATCATTCCAAAGCTGAGTTTTAATAGCACTAAACAAAAAGGGTAAAACTACAACTTCTGGTATTTGAATGATAGCCTTCATGACTATATAGAAAAAATACTTTTTTTCAAAAGAGATTCTGGGGCAGAAAATTTTAGATGATAACCTCATGAAAAGGAGTGAAAAATCGGAACCAAATGTATCCATTTGTGGGTAGTAGTTATGATAATTATGGGGAAGGAGGAAAAAAGGGTGTTGGCAAAGTATTCAAAAGAAGTACCTAACTATTCCAGTCATGAAGAAATCTGGGGATTATTTAGGGAAATAGTTGTACAAAGGAAACAATTCAAAGGCAACAAAAACAAAATTTAAATAAGAGTCAAAGATCAGATGAGGGCTGGGGAAAAGAGTTTGGGTTAGTTTCTGAGGTTATCTTAATGGGGTCAGCCTGTCTTACTGCCCCAACCCCCAGAAACCACCAGTATACCTACCTGTATCCCACACAGTTTTATAACTACAACAAACTTGACCCAGAGGTCTACGGCTAAGGGCTTTCTGGTCTAATGGCTTTAGGGCTTTCCAGAAACCTCTTTTCTATAAAACTTCTATTCTACTTCCTATCAAACTGCCTTTCCCTTCTCTACCATTCTCCATTCTGGTTCTGGCATGTGTGGATTGAAAAAGCAAAAGTGGAGGTGGGAATGAATGGGGACACAGCTGGTCTGTGGCAAAGAGATGGTGGGTAGGAAGCAGCTGCATTTTGGAGGATTAGGATCTTGGAAGCCAAGGAAAGCTTCTTCCAAGTTCTCTCCTTTCAGTCCTTTCCTCTCTTGGGCAATAAGAGAAATTCCACAAAACACACAAACCTTCTGAATTCACAACACTCTTCCTCATAACCAAGTGTGTTTATTATGACTGCTTACATTTTCTGTGTGCCTTGCATTTAGATTTTTCTAAGAGTTTCAAAGAGCCTTAAAAATTTTCATTAAAACACATATTTCTGGCTATATTTTATAAATACAATTTAACTTTAGAATGATTGGAATTCACTTTGTTAAAAGGTTATTCTTCTAAAATTTGGTTTATTATACTACACTCACATTTCCTAAACCAGGGTTCTTAAAATCTAAACTTCATAAGAATCCTCAGGGATGCTATAAATATGGATTCATATTTAGTAGGTCTTAGGTGGAACCCTGGAGTCTACATTTTGAATAAGCACCCAAGGAGATGCCTATATGGTGGAGGTAGAGGGACCCCATTTTGAGATCCCATTCTAATCTGAGCCCCCTAACCTCTCAGCTTCACCTTTTTCAAGACAGCCTGTTTGAGTGACAGTAGTCAAGCAGTCACACTGAATATTGAGCCAAAAACACAAAGTGAGCAATCTGAGAAAAAGAAAATTATCACCAACAACCTTAAACAATACAAGGTGCTATACAAATACAGGAAAGAAAGGGAGGTTTCCTGGTTGTAACTCCACTTCCTTGAATAAGACAAGGTTTGGTATTATGAATGA